GAGCCGGGTCGGGTTCACCCAGAGGCTGGGTGGAAGGAGGCTCCAAAGGAACAAATGAGATTACAGTGAACTCTGCGAACGTGCTGGCCAAAACCGGCTCGGTTTGTTTTTCGTGATGTTGCTTCTATTTTAAAATCCAAGTTACGGAAACCATTTACAGTGGACTGTAACAAGAGTGTCGTTTCCTGTGGGCAAGACGTTTCTAGAGAGTTACTCTTGTTACGGTCCCGAGAAATTGTGTTCTTAAGTATGATAGACATTTCTGGAGGGTGAGTTTTTGAAGGAAAATTGGAAGCTAGCTATTTGTAGAATCTTGTGGGTTTTAAAAATGCACTTTCAGATAGGAGAAAACAGAAATATTTTAACTTGTAGTTAAGAGCTGTGTGGAAGCTGCTTGACAGTCTTTCAGGGGGTGATTCAGGTATTTATAAAATGGCCTAAAGTACAGTTGCTGCTGTCTTCTAATTTCTTCAGCTGCTTGTTGATTTCGCAGGCGAAGGAATAATGGCCAGACTTTTGCCTTTCTGATGGCCAGCAGTATATCTTCACTTCTGATTTTTCAACTTCTCTTCTGCTTAACAGGCAGAGGGTTGAAATTTGATTGATTGGGAGTGAAGGCTTTGTTTCCATTTCCCTGAATGTTCCTTATGCAACTACGAAGTGAAGAACTTGGTTTACCTTATAGTTATATATCTGAAAAAAGAATACTGGCCCTTTTGACTTCTAGCGTAAGTAATGTTTTCATGGCAAGGCTAAGAAGGATACTTATCTAACTAGCTCCACTCATCAAAAAAGTGCAAAGTATTTGCAAAGCCAAAATCGATGGTTACAGTTTTGCCTATGATTTTGCAGCAAGATGTGCCACAAATATTCACAGTCTAAATAACTGCTCTTTCTAAAAACTTTTCATTTACCGAATGTGTTTCATGGGAGGTGAAGGGGCTTGTTGGATGAGATTAGGGCTTCAGCTGGCCTTTATGCCCTTTTTAGACAAAGAGAATTCCTGACGCCACGTTTTAAAAACCTGATTTTTAGCACGTTATGTACAAGTTTTGTATATGCCGTGGTTTCTTTTGTAGAGAATGCTTCTGAAGGTTGTTACCAAGGAGTCTTTATGTAGTACAAGCATGCTAATCAGTGCTACCATCGTAACTTTTTAAAGGTGTCTCAAGTTAAGTGTGGTTTCATATTTTAAATAATACTTTTGATTGATAGGTATTAGCAAATGAGTCCAAGACTCTTTAAAGTTAAATTTGCCAGGCCATGTGTGATTCTCTTCCTCTTCCTGAAGTGAAGACTCAGTTACAGAAATAGTGGGGTTTTTTTTGCTCTGCTGCTTCATTTTTTCACTTTTTGTGTGTGTGTGTGAACACTGTAGCTCAGGATTTGAAATGGCTACTTTGATCATATTATAAAACCAAGTGAGGCAAAGGGCTATGACCTGAACATTAATTAATGTATTATAAAGGATGAGTAGTTTTCCAATGTAAAGCATACCAGTGCAGTAAATAAACGGTAATTAATTCTGGATGACAGCATTTTACAGCAATTCATGGAGGGGAAATAGAGCCTACATGAATGTAATGTACGGTTATGCAGTGCTACTCTCTGTCAGAGTTAAGGGGAGCGTTATTCTGCAGTGTGCTAACTATTCTGCTCCTTATAATTACCTGTTAAAACTGCACCTTTTAATATTTGAATGCAAATGGACATGCAGAAATGTGGGGAATAGCAGCGTGTTGATGTAGGATTGGGAAGGTGCAGCCTGGTCACAGACAATGCTGTGTAATTGGCTGCAGGAAATGTTTTTCTCTTATGATAGTGTGTAATGGCTTAAACTGTAAGGAAGGGGAAAACATTAAGGCTCTAGGAATGAGAAGTTTGCATGCGGATTGTGTGGCATCTGCTGCAGGTAGCAGCTAATTGTCCTTCAGCTGTTACGCACCTGGAGAAACAAAACCCATGAGACTACGAAAACTGTAGGAGGTGGCGCGCTAGTCCATAGGGACACTCCTTTGGTCGCTTTTGGAATACAGCTTTGAAAAACATGGGTGTGCTACTCTCTGCATTTTCCATTGCCATTAAACTCTTATGTTCTCAGCTCCGTGGCCTTTTGCAAAAGGTCCAAGCTCTTCCAACATGATTGGTTTTAATTCAGAGGAAGCCGTTCTTTTGCCGTAATTTACCATGAAATTGGGAATTCCTCCTTGTTTTTGTTACATTCACGAGAACTTTACCTAAATTGGTAGTTCAGCTTTGGGATTACGTCCTATCAATGTCAACTGTGGTTTACAAGTAAGCTCTGGTGTTTATATCAGTAATATTTTTTAAAAGTAGACATCCTGAAAATAGCTGTAAATCTATTCCTCATTCAGGTGTAGATGTTGGTAGGAACTGGAAATTTACCATTCTTGCAAAGGCAATTGTTAAAACCAGATTTACTTTACAGGTAAACGTGACTGAACGGCGTGGGTGAACCTTTATGTGCTCACCTCTGAATTAAAATATCACTGTATGTAACTGATGGCCAGGGACCTTTCTTGATGTAAACAACTGAGGTGAAGGAATCCTGTAAGCAGGATTCCATGGTATAGCATGTATATGCGGCCCTTCTTTTACTTAAGAGGCAATTACTTTAAATTGATCTGTTTTTGAAATACAGTGTAAGCATAGTTTTGAAGTAATGCAGTTTGTGTATGCGGTGTGAGCATCTGAACAGGAATGTGGGCTGTTAGAGAACATGTAACATGTGCTGTATGTCTGATCTCTGTGTTGAGGAAGGTGAGAAAGGGTTAGGAAGGCTTATGAGCCTGACTGTATGGCTCTAGCTTTTACTCCCCAAATATGTTACGGACACTCTTGCTCACTTACAGAAAGTCATTCAGGCTACCTTTTTTGTGCTCAACATGAAGCAAGAATTTGGCTGAACAAAGGGAGAATCCCAGAACATCTTACAGAAAAATGAGAGAAACCAACTTGTCTGTTACAACAATGCAGTGATTAGCTCTTTGTTTTTTCCAAGCAAAATGCTCAAAAATTGTGACTGTTAGAAAAAAGTGTTCCCTGTGCTCTCCCTGTCCATGAGAAGCACTATATAGACCATACAGCTTTTGAAGGACCCCAATTTCCTCTCTAGTATTTAGTGAGCAGTCTGTTCTGGTGGGGGTTTTTTTGGTAGTGGGATTGACTGGAGTGCTGCTACTTAAGAGCTGTATTCTCTAAGCCTTCCATCAAGGATTTTAATTTTCCTCAGACAGGACAGAATGTTACTTCAATGGCAGTGCTATAATTAACTCGGAGGCAAACTTCCGTTGTTCCCTCTGCAGGTAACACGCAGGGATATGAGTCAGTAATAACCAATTAAACTTGTTTGTAGTGAAGTTCTCTTTTATTGACCTCAAAACACCAGCAGCAACAGTAAATGTAAAGCATCTTAACTCTTCTTTTGACTGCAGTATCTGTAAAAAAAGATAGTGTTAAGCTGGACTTGTAAATACTAGGTAAAATTGCTATCTCCACCCTTTCATCCCGCAGCCTGCCCTGCTCTTTGGGAATTACGGCCTCGGTGTTCTCATTGAGAAAACTGGGTACTGGCATTCATCTGAAAATATATATACCTTAGTCACTGATGGAAAGGGCATGGCAGGACGGGATTCTTGGCAGTGAAGCAGCAAGGTGTAGACAGCTTCCAAGCGCTCTTTGTCTGTTATAGAGTAACAGGTAGATATGAATACCAGCTGAAAAAGCTTTCCTTTCAGAGGTGTATTGGAGGTTGAAGATGCTTTGTAGTTGGGAAATTTACGTTACCTATGGTTATTTCTTTTTAAAACGTCTTTTTTAGACATCTGGTTAAGAATAAGACTTGGGTTTTGAAGCGTTCGAGCAACTTGCTACTGGCCAAGTCATGACACTCCCATTTCGAAAGGACTTGGACAAGTACAAAGATCTCGATGAGGATGAAATTCTTGGCAAACTTTCGGAAGAAGAACTGAAACAACTGGAAACTGTTTTGGATGATCTTGACCCTGAGGTAGGTATTAGCCAAGAGAAGTTTTTTGGTTTTTTCATTTGTTCAGAAACTAGTCTGAAATAAATTGAAATGCTTTTTTTTACTTGAACAATAATACTTTTGGACAGAGCTTCTTCCTAGTTGCTAATGATCTTATTTACAGATATATTTGTGTATATAATGTTTCAACTGCTTATTTCCTGTTTGCAATGTGAATGCATCTGCGGTAGAGGAAAATGGAAGAAGGGATTGTCAGGAGCTACTTTCTGGGATTTATTTATAAATAAAAATTGCTCTTAGTCATGTTCTTGAAAAGAAAGTTTATTTAGAAAGGCCTGTTTAACTTTCCTGTTTCCAGTGTTGGCTGGTAAACAGCCCTTTTGCATCCATTTTTATTTTGTTGTTTCTGCGTTGGAGTTTGATGTGAGAGGGAGGGTGGTAACCTCTTCTAAAGATTCCTGCTCCTGGATCTGGTAGTCTATGTATATTCCTGTCCTCGTGCTGACTTCACAAAGAGGAGGCAAGTAATTACTCAGCTCCTGAATGATTGTGGCAGCATGGGGTATTGAATAAGGAATATTTTAGCTTTCTGTTATAAAGAGCTGAGTTATGTCCCCTACTGATACTGCAGCTAATGTCAGAGTGCAAGACTTGTGTTTTCACCTCCTGATTCTCTGTTCTTGCTTTAACAGGACTAGGATTAAGTTTCATCTTGATGTTCAGGGATCACTTAAAAATATTACAAGCACCTATTTTGTTGCACTGCAAGCTATTCTTGATATTTTAATTGGCTTTGGCTTTATAGACATTTTAACAGAGGAAAACTGGCAAAAGTGATTGGTTGTCTTTTATGGTAGTCTGAATTTCTGTACCTTCCATTCTTTCCATACTAATATCCTCTTTTTTTTTTTTCTGATTTCTTTAGCTGAAATACGTTGATGATAGCAAAAAACAACCCCACCTTCAGTCGGGTCAAAAGTAGAAATGCTCTGTGTTAAAAGCCGGACAATAGTATAGGCAATTGTATTAAAGACATAGAAACGCACAGATGTAAGCGATGGAAGAAGCAATCTTCTTGCAGAATGTCTACAGTGTAACTAGCTGAGTTTTATTTACTACTACTCATTTAAACATTGTTCATTCTAGAAAAGGAATGCAAAGTAACTAGGCAAGTCTAGTGCTGGGAGCTATTGTACTTACAGAATTGCCTCAGTCTTATTCAGAGTGCAGTGTGCTCTGTTTATAATTATATTCTTGGTATCTAAAGAATAGATTACCTTGTGTCCTCCCCTGCCCCAAAAGAAAGGAAGTTGGCAAGGGATCAGAGATTGCCTAAAAAATGATGTATTGGGTTTGAACCTTGGGGAGAGGGAGAAGGAAGAGGGAAATGAAACTAAACAGGTATTCACACAGACTTTCTAAGTGGTGCTTGTTTGCTCCATTTTGTTTTGCAGAACGCACTTCTGCCTGCAGGCTTCCGACAGAAAGACCAGACTGCTAAAAAGGCTTCAGGTCCCTTCGACAGGGAACGACTCCTTGCATATTTGGAGAAGCAGGCTCTTGAGCACAAAGACAGGGAAGACTATGTGCCTTTTACAAGAGAAAAGAAAGGTAACACCACCCTTTCCGGTGTAGCTGATTATGAAATCTCTGAAGTGGATTAGCCAGAACTACTGTGAACCCAAGTTTATCGAAGCACTGGCAGCAATAATGCTTTTTAACCCACGGCGTTTCCAAATGAGTGCTACTGTGCAGAGGCGGGATGCTTCCTGTTCAAGCATTTGCTGGCGCTGGGGCTGGTGTGCTGTTTGCATGTAGCACAGGAAGGAAATAAGACTCAAAGATTTTATCAAAGGTTGCAAAGTTCTGATGGGGATGGAATCCTCAAAGTAAAAGCTACCCCGGATTTGTGTCAAAAAATAACAAATGCTGTTGTTGCGCCTGTGGCTTATGCCCTGTGGTGCTGAGTACAGACAGTAACATTTGTAATACTACGTTGAATTAAAAAAATAGCAGTAGAGTGATGTTGTGGTAGATACTCAGTAATGTTCAAAGATGTAGGCTGGCAAGGCCAGGCAAGCGGTGTATGAAATCATGTTGTCCCTCTAGTATCCTTCTGAGAGGTTTAATAAGATTGCATAATTATTTTTAAATAATTACATAGTTAACATTGCAAGAAGCTTTGAAATCTGGCAGTGGTTTGTGGTCTAAAAACCATGGAAAAGCTGACCTGATGAATGGACACATTATTAAAGCCTGGGGTTTTAAATCTTTGTTTTGGATCAAGTCTTCTCGTTGACTTGATGGGAAGCATTTTCCTTTTCAGGAGAAAATTAAAAAAGAATGTGCATCTTAAATCTATTCTTACAATTTTTATTTTTTTCCCACAAAACAGGAGTTCCCGAATTTGTTGTGTCTTACTAAGCTCTACTGGTAGGCACAGAAACTCCCAGTCCTGTGCTGAGCACGTACGCATAGGAGGAGGCTTTTGGGTGTTGCCACAGTGTTTGTGTACTGCTTGTGAATCCTAGCTTGTCTGAACCTTCCCCAGCAGCAGGGCAGATCTGCTGCAGTAAGACTTCAGTAAATTGCTTTATAAGTTGTGTTCTCACTGCCCAAGATGAACAGGCTCCTCTCTTGAGGGTTTGAACCCTTTTAATTCTGCCTAATTTTTGGTTGTGAATCATTGCTTATTTCAGACTTGAGTCTTCATTCATGTACTGAGTTTGTATATAAGACTGTGATTATGGTGTCTATTCAGTGAAAATTTTGTTGGGGGTATTTGCATTTTCTCTGTTACTTGACAATGTTGGTCTCTTATTTTTTTATTTTTTCACCTTGAAGTAATAGAGATTGTGACTTTATAATGTGCTGCACTGTGTATGATGTACTACTTCCTTAATACACCATGTCTTGCCTTATTTGTGTAGTTTAACGCCACTTTTGTTGAGAGATGACAACTGCGATGCTCCTTCGCTGACAGGAGAATTGGGAGTTTGCTATCTGAATCTAATCGAGTTAAGGATAATGCAATGCGTTGAATGTAGAAGGCAGCCAGAGGTACCTATAGCAGCAGTACCCTTATGGTGCCTCCGCTGCTGGCAAGTACCTGTTGATCCCGTGTTTGGCCATGTAGTGTGCTGCTGCTTCCTCCCCTCTGCTGCTGGTTGCCTGACATACTGGCTAGGATATGTTGGAGACAGCCTAATGGTTTAACGTGATGAAGTATATTTGGGCCTCGTACTTGGTTTGGGGAATCCCTTGCAGCCTGGCTAGGTTGTACACCCCTCCTTCAGGAGGTCAGGCTGGGCGTGGAGGATTTTCTTTAGTGAGTAGTGCTTTTTCTACTGAGTACTAGTGCTCCATTCAGCTAGGTGGATCTTTAAAGTCAGCTTATGTATATATGCACACGGCAAAACTATTTGTTTGGGTAGATAAAATCTGTGGAAAAACAGAAGGGTCCAGCTGCAACACAGATCTTGGTTAAGAAAGATCAAATGTCATTTCCTTGATGTAATAAAGTATTACTAAATAGCAGTCTGTCTGGATGTTGCAATGTGTCATACCAGTTTAGTTAGTAAAATTTCCTGCATCTCTTAATAAAAAAACCAAAAAGAGTTGCTATTTAATACCTTTTCTTACCATTTCTTTTAGTACCATAGAAGAATAGAAAATAATATGAAATATGAAATGTAGCTTACTTTCATCAAAACTAAAAACGTGGAAACAAATGTTCAGTATGGAAATTCATGCTCTGTTAAATGAGCGGGCGGAGGTGGGAAGGCTGAGCTCACGTTGTAGTGAGGGAAAAGAACCTCTCATGAAAATGTGATGGTTCAGCTTTGACTTGCTGCTGTGTTTGTAGCCATTTTGCACAAAAATGGCCAACCTAGGTAACTTAATCTTTTAAATCAAGAAATCATGATCTTTAGATGAAAACTTAGAAAGGAAGTGGAGTAAAACTTAACACTTGTGTAGGATGTTTTTTATCTAGAGGGAGCTTTTATCCTAATGTGCTTTAATATTAAAAAACCAAACAACTAAGCTGGCTTATAATTTTTTTCTTTGGCTAGATAAATACATTATAGAGAAATGCTGAATTGTGGAATAGGGGTGGGTAAAAATCTTGCCTGATTATCCTGTTAGTTCAGAAGAAAACTGACAGTCGTAACCATCAGATCTAGAGGTTTGGGGGGGAGAGAGACAGACTGGAGTTGCAGCTATTTTCTTGGTGTGTTTTTGTGGGTCAGGCTTTGCTAAAATATTTCTTTGTGTCTACCTGGTCTCATTGCTCTATTCATTTCATGGAGTAAAAAGGGGGAAATCTATCATTCTCCTCCTCTTTCCTTTTCCTAATTTAGTAGAACTTGTGTCCTGCATGGTGATTTGGCCTGCAGGTTTATCAAAGTAGCTTACCCTGGGTTAATTTTAAACATCTGGGCTTGCTACTGATTCTGATAGCCTTGTTTCCCTCCTACAGTGTAAAGGAAAATCCTCTCTTCTGGTTGTCCTAAGTAGCCCTTTTTGAGGTAACGTTACTAAAAGTGTTGCATCTCTTTCACTGATAGGTGATGTGATTTTGCCAAATCTTTGGAACCTTTTTTTGCTGTGTGCAATGAAATGTGGAAGATCTGAAATCATGTAAAGTGTCCTCATGGAGTGAGATGAACAGTGCTAAAGAAAGTAAAGCTTAACAATCCCTAAAATATATTCTATTGCATTTTTCCAGTGCCTGATTTTGTTTCTAAAAGCATCCTTAAAAACATACTTTGTTTTTAAACATGATTTAATGACTTAAGTCACATTCTGTTCCAATTAAGTGTTGAACCATACAGTGAACCATTGTTTAAGAGATTCGTGAGAGCGATGTGGTAATAATTTCAACAAAACTAGCTTTGTCTCAATCTGTGTACGTAAGTATGTCATACAGATTTTACAAGGCATACTGCAAGGAGAAGGTTCTCTCATCTAAGTGGTGAAGCAAGGCTTCAGCGCTGGGGTCTGTTGCCCTCAAATGTGTTACACGCATCTGCCCCAGTCTGACCAGTGCACCTCACTTCTCCTGGAACAGCAAAAGATGAGACTTACTGCACCTGATATAAAATCATATCTAACATCAGTAATGTACTTTGTGCTGTACAGTGCAAGGCATTAGCAAATTATTATGTAAACCAAGCCTTGCATTTCTAGCCTTTGCACTCTCCTAATTATGGCGTTTGTTCTGCGTAGATTTGCATTTCATGCAACTTCTGCTTTAATGTTGTGGGTTGGGTTTTTTTTTTTCATGCTCTGTCACCCAGAAAATATTGTTAGGCTGAAACTGTAGTCGCCTGGCGAGTCCTCTGGCTCTGCCCTGCTCAGTTGTTGCTCTAGATCACGGTTTGCTTCTGTTGCAGAAGGATTTGGGATGATGTGCTCTCTGTTTGCTTTTCAATCACTGGTCTTTAAAGGAAGTGTGTCACATGTTGTAAAATGAAGCTAATATCCTTTAGGAGCTTTGGAGAAACAACTTGTCGCGTTGACATTCTTCATACAAGACTACTAGAACAAAATAATGTAGTACTCTAGCCTTAATGTGAAACAGTTTTCTAACTCACTGCTATGTGCTCTGTAATCAGATAACAAATAACAGTACTGTTTCTACAGTATTGTTATTCTACAGTTTCTACATGGAGGAAGTCACTTGTAAGTTGAATAAAAAAAAAAAAAGTGTTAAATTGTGCTTACAAGTGAATTGATGAACCTAAGTCTGTCACATGGCAAGAGTTGGCAATTGATGAATTGTGTATTATATCAATTTCTGGATTGAAGAAGCTTTAAGGAACATAGGTGTTGGTCTCTTCTCCCTGGTAATGGGCGACAGGACAAGGGGAAATGGCCTCAAGTTGCGCCAGGGCAGGTTTAGGTTAGACATTAGGAAAATTTTTTTCAATGAAAGGGTTGTCAGGCACTGGAAGGGGCTGCCCAAGGAAGTGGTCGAGTCCCCATCCCTGGAGATAATTAAAAGACGGGTAGACAAGGTGCTTAGGGACATGATTTAGTGGTGGGATGGCCGGGTTAGGTTAATAGTTGGACTTGATGATCTTAAAGGTCTTTTCCAACCTAAACGATTCTATGATTCTATAAAATGTAAGGAACATATCAGATTTTGCTCGCTCTTCTTCATGAAGTTACTGATGAGACAAGCTTGTATTCGGTTGTCCTCAGGTGACAGTTGATTCCTTTTCTGCAGAGTATAGCAAAGTGGATGTTAGACTTCTGTCTGATCTGCAAGGCCTGGCTGCTTGCTGCCTACGAGCAGCAAGGGTAGGACTGCGGGATATGTGAGAATAGTTCCTGCAATATGCAGTGCATGGCCACTCTGAGCAGCCCTGACTTCTGCAAGACTTTCAGTCCCACTGTAGATACTGTGGGTCTGTGTGTGAAAGGTCCAGGGCCCTTCAACAGACATCATCCAGTGCTTTGCCTTTTGAGCAATGTGGTTGCGTGGAACTTGGAACTGAAACTTCATTCTGTAGCAAAGAAAGCCTGTGAATTAATCCTGGGATGTGCATCATTTAACACGTTAGCTAAAGGCATAAAGACCTGAATATCTAATTGTTACAGAAATGATGTGAACACCTCTGAAATTTGCCTCTTGTTGTACTGCTTAATCTTTGCGGTATCCTTGTTGGCTGAAAAGGAGGATGTCATGTCCCTTCATGTGATCAAATCCCTGCTATTTGGAAAAGTTCCACTTGAGGGCTGAGAAATCTATTCATCTCATGGGCTGTGCAGATGTGTAGGTTTTTTTTTTTTAAGCTTGTATTAGTAAGGGGGGAATGGAATTTCCAGACTGTCTTGGCAGCTGGCCTGGAGTTAGATCAGCGTCCCTAGAGATACAGGGATCTTGTCCTTTTTGAAGTTAAGTTCGTCACTAGAAGTGGGGAGTGGGGAAGGACCTGCTTTCGTGTGTGCATTGTAAACCTCTGAACTCTGGACTAGGATGAGATGAAGCCAATGAATGACAGATTATATACACAAGGGTGTGACCTATTCTATAACAAAAACTGCTCCTGACCCAGTTCATGTGACTGGAGTTGGCTGCAATGAACATTTCTGGAAGGGAGCGGCTCTTAACATTTTTGCTTTAATAAAAACTGAATATACTTTTTTTTTTTTTAGGTTATCTTAAGAGTCAGGCATGTATGGATAAATTTAGTTTTACTCTTAGGAAGCAAATGTCTAGAAACAGAAGTTCCTAACCTATGAATTTAAGAATTACTTAAAGTAACATCAGGAAAAATAGTTCTTTTTTTGTGGGTACTGTGTAATGAACCAGACAGGTTCATTAGGCTGATCTAGGTTGAAATACATTTTTACAAAGTTGCTTTTAACTGAGTTCAGTTTCCTGCTCCCACTTCTTGCCTGCTGCACTGAGGCTGCAAATAGGATGACATGAACGAAGGCTCAGGCACTAGAATAGCACTTTCCTTCTCTTCTCCTTCCTTCCTTGTAGTCTGAAATCCTCACTTTGTTACTAGTCTGTATTACTGAGGGAAAACAACGCACACATAGCAAATGAAAGGCTTTAGATCATGTGTATGCTGTTCAGTGTTTCATGGGCTAATGAAAACCTCATCAAACTTTCTCATATCTCTTCTGAAAATTACAGTTTAAGTTGAAAGCTGTTCTCAGGAGGTGATGCTGGTAAAATAAAATGGGGCTAGAAATGTACTGTGTCAATTATATCAAAATAATCTTAAACATTTACTGCCTAAGCCTTCAGTTTATTTCTTTTAATCCTGAATCTCCACAAACATAGTTTCTGGTGCACTGTCCATCAAAGCTGAGGTATGGGTGGTAACGCGTGTCAGCTGCTTTCAGCTACTGTTTGTACTCAGCACAGTTATGTAAGGAGATTTATTTTCTGCTTCTAAATATGGATAATGACCATTTATACAACTTTACAAAGATATAGCAACCCAGGAACAAAAATACTGTGTTGCTAGCAACCGATCTTGGTCATCAGACTGTGTTGTCAGAGAAAAACCTGATGCACTTCTTTGTAATCTGTGCTAGTGGTAATGCATTACGTTCCTGTAAAAAGAAAATGAACCACAAACTATTGTAGTGTAGGATGGGAATTTCGAGAGAGAGAAAGGGTGGATGGATTTTGTTATGCCCATGTCTGCTGTGGGACACCGGAGCCGACTTCAGGCTTTTGCCTCCTACAAGTGGTGAAACCAAAATCCTGCTTTGTTGGACTTTTCCAGAAATAAAACTGAAGCATCCCTATAAAACTTCTTGTCACTGGGAGGTATTTAAAAATACTGAACTTAGTCTCAGTCCCAACGTGTAACAAGATACACTTGTATGCAGCATGAGGAAGAAAAATCTTAGGCTTCTGGCTTCTGCCCAGCTGGTCTGATTCTAGTGCATGGTGAGTTGTCTTTGTGTAATTGGGGTGAGCCAGTATGACTTGTGTAAATGTTTTTTAGCTATGCATATGGAAGAGGGTGGGTTCCTGAATTAGCCCTGACTCTTCCTAGGAAGATTATTGGCACCGCTTCCTACCCCGGGAGGTAACTAAAGGAAGTCGGAACGCCTTTCCCACAGCCATGTCTGCTGGTAGCTCAGGTGACTTGGAGAGTTTGAATAACTGTTAAGATTAGATTCACAGTTTTCTACTTGTGAATTATTTCTATCAAGTGCATCAGTTGTGTTCTCTCATACAGCATTGGAGCTTTTATTTACCACGTTAATTCGTCCTGAACCTAAGCACCCTTACCTCTCCTGGGTTCTTAGATTTCTTTGTTCTGAAAGGCCAGTTCTAAATCATTAAAATCTGAACTGTTTTCAGAGTAACTGTTAGAATAGCTTTCTCATACTCTGTTTGCTTACCGTAACTTTTGAGCTGAAGACGTATGCTGAATTATGCTAACCACACTGACATCTTTTTATAATGCATGTCTTCTAAAATAACTTTTCCCATTACTCATCTGTAATGACTAAGAAGCTGTTGCAGAATGTGATATTACTACTGCTCTTTTTCCCATTGAATCTTCTGTGACCTTTCTAAGTATCATTTTAGAAAATAGTGTCATTGGCAGAGAAATCTATTGTTTTGTGCTGTTCATAAACCATGGTTTTGTCAAGCAGCTCAGGCATCCCCTTTTTTACTTCACCATTGAGTTAACATCTGAAATCAGAAACACCGCGTATGCTGTAAAACTGCAGTGAATACTCAGATCCATGATTTCAGATGATTCTTTGATATTCTGTTTCTCTGACACACTCAGATTACAGTTCTGCCTGGGTCACTTTCTCCCTGAGAGGGTATCAGTCATCGTTCTCCAGTGATACTAAATTTTCCTTACAGGCACTTTTTTAGGTTGTTTAAAGTGTATAATGGAGGCTTATGTTTTACTTTCTAATACTTAGGAGAAGGTTGGAGTCAT